CACAGAAACCTTTGGTTACTTCAAGGAGTAAGCAGCACATCTCTTATGAACTGGCAGAGTATTCCATAATTAAATGCTAATTATAGAATTAAAACCATCGCCTAGTACACAAACTTAGAGGAAGAACACAAATCACACCAACAATTTCTGCAGAACATGAGAGACTAATAGAGGCAATAGGAGCCGTGAGACAAATGCAACCTCTGTGGGTCAGTTCCCACAGAAATACGAATTGTTCAGAAATTCAGTGAATTACAGCAGGCTCCAGCACTGTAGGGGATTAAAGTAGGGATTCTGTCTCCTCTCAGCCCCAGCTCTTACCTTGGGACACAGGAAAACCAGGCATAGAGGGCACTGAACTAAGCTGGGCAAGCTGCTGTTTCAGCTTCTTGACCTCAGCTTGCAGCTGGCTCACGTTGCCTTGTGTGTCTTCATTTACCACAGCCTTTCAAAAACAAGTTCAGAGAAAATTAGGAAAGGTACAAGTAAAAAAAATCTTGTATTTTATAGGTTAAAAAAAGACTCAAAGACTGCAAAGCAGCAGAAGCACTGAGAAATCTTTCCATCTCAGTAGAAGACACAGGAAAAGCAATGTTCCATTTATAGAGAAATAAGTAAGTGGCACTTTGGCTAAAATTATTGGTTAAAAATGTGAATGTTTTCTGTAGAATTTTGTCTGGAGTATTCTTGACCAACAAAACAGTACACATTGGAGCAAGCAGTTTCCAGACAGATGCCAGCACAGGTTCAAAACCCACTCATGAGAAATTATGTTTTGTGCATTAGCAAATATGAGAACTAGATGCAATGAAAGGCTATTGAATCTAATTTTTTTTATGTCAATTTTTAGTGCAGATTTACTGTTTTTTTTTTTCCTCTAACAAAGTGCTCTGGGAACAAGCAATGAATACACTGTTATCAGCCAGTACCTAGGCCCTAGCTGCTGTACTCTAGTTGTAATCAAAAGTCCTTTTAAAAATTCAGTTGTCATAAAAAAAACATTCAGGAAAGCAAACTGAGTATTTTAAAATTAGTACTTTAAAATAAGATATTCATTTAAATTAGTGCAAGCACAGGAGTTAGTTCAGTGGAGCTACCCTGTTTGCAGATGTGTAGTTGAAAGGACAAAAAATGGTTTGTTGGAAGAATAAAGACATGGAGAGTTCTCTTACCTTGTTTTTAATCAGCTTGGCTCGTTGAGCAAAGTTCAGAGTGGACAGTGTTTCACCAAAACACCTGGAGCCTGGGTGAACATTGGCAATTATACATGTTTTGGCATTTCCACCAAGGGAATCCTGGGGAAAAAACATGGAAATCAACCTTATTTGTGTGGGTTTGGTAACAGCAGGAAGCCATCACCTAAGAGCTACTGTGAACAAACTGCAGAAGGGATTTTTGATCAGGTAAGTTTCTAAAATTTTATTTCAAGTGGGAGTGTAAAGGAGGTGGCTGTAAACACTATTTGGGTTTTCAAAACCCTGAATTTATTACTTAACTAGTTGGGATTTTTTTTATTATATCTGAACAGCAGGGAAAGAAAAAACCCAACAGAAAAAAAAAAATATTAAAAAGTAGCTATTTCACTTTTATCTTGGTAATTAGGAGTTTGATATTTGCATTATTTTGAAGAACACCAAGACCATTGATTGTTCCAACCTATCTTCTGGTGGCAACAAAAATCTTTTGAGTGCTTCCATCTTTGTTTTCTGTTCATTTTGAAACAAGCCCATAAGGTCTCAGGGAGGAAACTAAATTTATCTAAATCTTAACATCACACCAACACTCAGCACATGTTAGGCTAATTCTGGAAATCCTGTCAAACGTTTCCACACATTTCTAAATATCACATGGTGACACACAGTATCTCCCAAATTACAGGGATGAAAGCCTGGGCTGCTTTTTCTTTAGAACTTGCAAGGATGTAATCAGAGATGATGAGCATAAATTTGTCTCCAGTGAACATCAGTAAATCAGCCAGGAGTCTGTTTAGGTAAAGATATTTTTTTTTAAGCTTTCTTCCACCCACCCAATATTGAAACAAAATGTTAATGCACCCGAGTTCAGGTTTTTAGAGTAAAAGTAACCAACCCAGACAAATCTTTTCCCCAGCCCAAGCAGCATGTACAAACC